CCTTGGGAGGCTTTGGCAGAAGGCTCTAATTCAAGCCCAACTAGGGCAACTTAGCATCTCAGGAGGACCCTGTCTCAGGATAAAAACCAAAACCAGGGCTGCCTTTGTAGCTCAGGGCAAAGGCCTGGGTTCAAATCCCAGCATCAAATAAATAAATAAATAGGAATTCTGCCAAGTGCGACGGCCACACCTGTTAGTCCCAGCTGCTTGATACCGAGCGACCAGCATCATCAATTCAAGCCCAATATGGGCATTTGAGTGAGACGCTGCCTCAAAATAAAATGACAACCAGGTGCAGCTCGGGCTTAGGCAGCACAAGGGCGGCCCTGACCTCAGGGAGAACCTCATGCTAAGCGAAGTCAGCCAGTCGCACCAGAACCGGCTGGTTCTGCTCCTGTGAGGAGTAACCAAATTCAGACACACACACTAGGGCTGGGAGCGGACGGGGAGCGGTTGTTTCAGAGCAGCAAGCTGGAAACAGTCCGGAGACCAACTGCGCCCCGCTGTGACCGTGCTCCACACTACTGAGCTGTAATTCGGAAGCGATCGATATGGGAAAGTTTAAGCATTTTTGCCACAATAAAAAAAAATGTTTATATAGAAATAATCTGGAAACCCCTCCAGCATGACAACAAGGGATTAAGGTCGGCCGCCAGGGGGCGCTCTGCGCACACCCCCATGTTTGCTCACCGCGCACCCCCACCCGTGCTGCAACCTCTACAGGAATAAAAGTCAGGGTCTCCGGAAACAGGGCTGCTCCCCCCCCCCCACCGGCCCCTTCTCCAGATGCACAGGTGTGTGAGGCCTGAGCGACCCAGGGTGCAGCAACTCAGCCCCGGGCTTTCTTGGGGTCCCTTCCCTCTGTGGTGGAGACGCAGGCCTTCAGCCTGGGGCGCCCCGCTTCATCCAGATGTTGTAGGCTGGAGAAGAAAGAAGCAGCCAGAAGCGGCCCCACACACACACACCACGGAGGAGGGAAACCGGGGCCCGGGAAGACGCGGGGACAGCGCCCCGGAAAAGGACCGGTGGCCTGGGTCACGCAGGGGCACAGCTTTGGGGGTTTTCAGACTGGGCTGCTCCCCGTAGCCCAGGCCTGGTCCCCGCCGCCCCACCTGCAGGATCTGGGCCATGGCCTGCGGAGGGGGTTGGACGATTCCGAGAGCGTCCTAAGATCTCTGGTAACAGCTGGGCACACCTGTAATCCCAGCACCCGGGAGGCTGAGGCAGGAGGATCCCAAGTTAGAGCCCAGCCTGGGCAACTTAGCACCTTAGAGACCTTTCCTCAAAATAAAAATACAAAGGGGGCTGGGGATGTAGCTCAGTGTGAAGGCCCTGGGTTCAGTCCCCAGCACCGGGGGAAAATCGGTACCTAGAAAGCCCTCGGTGGAGGGGCCAGGTACTATCCCACGCCCACTGCATGTGCCGCAGGCCTGGCCTGCTCCCACTTCTGGCGGCTCTTCTCCACCAGCATCCTCTCTCCAGGGAACACCCTCTTCAGCAACCACCCAGAAGGACTCCAGGACAGTCTCCCTTCCACTCTCGTGTCCCTCTCCATCTCTAAGTCATTCTGTCTGTCCTGATCAGGACACATGTCCCAGGTTCCCTCTACCCCCCAGCCCACGGGCCTCCCTGCATTTCAAAACTCTCTTGCCAACCTCAGGACCTTTGCATGACCTCTGCCCATCAGCTAGCACACTTTCTCCCATCTACCCCATCACTCTTTACTTCCCTCCTTCAAGCTGGAGCTCAAATGTCACCTCAGAGGCACTTTCCCCGACCACCTCATCAGCCTCCTGTCAGCCATCTTCCACCCCTGCTTATTCCTCTTTTTTTTTTTCCTTTAATCTTGGTTCACAAAAAAGTGAGTCAGTCATAATCCTCGGTCCCATCCGTCTCGTGGTGGGTGGCTTTAATGCCTGCAGCTGGAGTGTGGTGTAACATTTCAGCATGGGAATTAAATCATAGTTTATTCATTTGTGTGTTTCCCAACTTCGTCCACTGTAAACAGCTGCTCGACATTTTTGTTCTTTGTAGTAAGGCTGAACCCAGGACCTTTGCACTGAGTTACACCCCCGGCTCGTTTTCAATTTTTTATTTAGTTTGAGACAGGATCTCATTAAGTCACTGAGTTATCCAGGCCAGGCTCCTCCTGCCTCAGCTTCCCAAAGATGTTCTGTGAATGGGCGATAGTTTCTCCAGGGGCCACCCGATGGGGACAGAACCACCCATTCACAGGTACTAGCACCCCTAACTATATGAGGAAAGGCGGCCCTCTGACGCCCAGGACTTGACACTTCGCTGCACACTTAGTTTCTGATGTGACACATGGTGTATAATACATGGGTGTCGGTGGGCTCTGTCTTGGATCATTGCTGCACCCCCGTCCCTAGAACGGTGTCTGCACATAGTAGGTGCTCAGTAAGTTTCCTCTCTGGAGGAACAAGAAACCGGCTCAGAGTGCTCACAATACAGAGCCGGGCTGGCTCCGCCCTCCCGCGCTTTGCACCCCTCAAACACAGCTCGAGCCTGAAACCCAGGACACCCGGACCCCAGGAAGTCCCCCGTTTCCAGCGCAGCCTCTGCTCTGTCCCCACAGACACTCAAAGGCTCTGCTTCCTGTTTCCACCTCAGCTGACTCCCAGCGGCCGAGGAGAGGCCACGGGGGCCACGAGGCCTACGCAGCGGGCTCTGGAGCGAGAGGGGCCAGGGCCAGGGCCTCTTGGGGGCCCCCAGGGGCCTGGCCCTGACAGTCTTCTGGCTCCCCCAGGGGCTCTGCAGCCTCTCTGGGCCCTGCTGGGCAGGGCCACGGCTGGGTACACAGCAGGTGCCAGGGAAGCCCTGAGCACAGATCAAAGCGCATCAGACTGCCCAGCCCGAGCCTCCTGGCTCTGGGATGAAACCTAAGCCCAGCCCGGGGCTCAGAGGCCACAGGGCAGCCCGCTCTCCTCTCCTGCCCCACGCGCTCCTCAGGTGCCTCCCTGATGCCTGAGGCCCCGGGGGCTCCCTGAGAGGCCTTCACGGGCCGAGACTCTCCTCCCCGCCCTGGCTGTGGTCAGCGCCGAGCAGGACTGCTCACTGCTGCCTCTGCCCCTGGACACTGAGGCCCAGGGACAGCAGGCACCATGCTGTGTGTCTTCTGTCTGGGGCCTGGCACAGGAGAGCAGTCAGAGGGTGGGTGGATGGAAGGACAGATGGGCAGATGGATGGACAGACGGACAGATGCACACACAGATGGATAGATGGATGGGAGGACAGGAGAGGAGGAAAGGAGGGATACAGACAGAGCTGGACTGGCCAGCTAGAGCATGCCCTGCACGGCTCTGACCACGGCCAGGTCGGGGAGGAAACTCTCTCCGCCGGTGAAGGCCTCTCAGGGATCCCCCAGGGCCTCAGAGAAGCAGACAGACAGACAGACCTGCGGTGCACGCCAGCACCTGGCTGGTGTGTCCACAGCGCCCCTGTGCTGAGATGAGCGGGCAGCACTGGGTGCTGGACTTTGCACTCCTAGAAGCTCTGCAACCCAGGTGAAGGGCCATCAAGAACCACCTGTGCTAGGTCCTCAGCTAGATGCCATTCATTAGTCAGTCAGTGAACACAGAGGCAGCGTGGTGCTGTGGGAGATGCGCAGGGCTCTTGCGTCTACCATGTGTAAAAGGCGGGCAGCACTACCTCCCTCCTGGGGAGGTTGTGGAGCGTACTGAGCGTTACATAAGTGCCTGGCACATAATAGACACTCAGGAAACCACATCCATTATGTAAGGAGCACCAGCCACACGGAGAGGAGGCCAGCATGGCCCCTGATCTCACACGACTGTCACACTATTGTGGGGACAGATTGAAGTAGCTACTTGGGACATGGGATGGCTCACCACAGTGAAGATAAGGGAACACAGAGGGAGGGGATGACTCGGGAAGGCTGCCTGGAGGAGGTGACTTTTGGTGAATGCTTACGTAGCATGGGCGGGAAGTCACAGACTGGGGACCTCTTTTCCAGCTTGCTGCCAAATCCCCGAGTGACCTTGTGCCAATCCCTGCCGCACCCCGCACCCCTCGGAGCGCCTCCTGTGACACAAGGTTTCTGGGCATCCACTCTGAATCACTCAGGGTCACGGCAGACAAGGCCGGAGAGACCTCACCAGGTTTGCACACAGCGGGGAGGCGGCCTCCATGCACCCTGGAAACCTGTTCCATGGGACTCCTGGGCCAGAGCCTCAGTCCGCTGTCCTGCGGGAGTGGATCTCTGCAGATGCAACCGCCAGGGCCAGGGCCAGGACCAGGGCCAGGAAGGCAGAGGTGGAAAGGCCACCGGGCGCAGGACACAGGGCCCGGGCGGGGTGCAGGGGCACGCTCTGGCTGGCAGGTCCAGCTCTGGGAGGCTGCGGGCCCTCGCCCTCCCTTGATCTCTGCCTCTGCCTCCCCCCAGCATTTACTGAGCACCTACTGTTTGCAGACAGCTGTGACTCAGGGTCCCCTGCCTGGGGAAGCAGGGTCTGCCACCCTTCTGTCACCCGAAGCAGGGCACAGGGGGAGTAGGCTGCTTGCAGGCGCTGGGCTGGCTGTGCTGGACCCTGGTTCTGTCCTGCCCCCAGGCTGGGCCTCAGTCTTTCCATCTGTGCCTTTTGGGTTCTGTGTTCCCTGTGGCTCTGACGCGGCTGTACCAGGCCCTGGCAGTGAGGAGCAGATGCAGAGGCTCCCCGGATGCTTCCAGAGCCTTCTCAGGGTGCTCCCTGGACCCCCGAGCATTTATGGGGTGCCCATGGTGTGCAGGCCCTGGACTGGGTGGCTGGAACACAAAGATGATAAAGATTCCCGCAGGGGACCCCTCATGGCTCACCATCCCGCGCTGCGCCTGGGGTGGGGGGCTCCGGCTGGGGGGACCACCGAGGACTGGGGCGCCCAGGAGGCTTGCGGGGCGCAGTGTCTCCGCCCCTTCCTCCCCTCCCCCTGCGGCCCGGCCCGCCCTCCCCCACCCGCGGGATCCCGGCGCCCGCGGCCTGCGCGCTCCTCCCGTCGGTGGCGGGGCTGAGTGGCGGCGCGGCGGGGACAGCAGGGCGCGGAGGCGGGACCGCGGCTCCCCCCGCCCCGGAGCCAGGCGGCGGCGCGCGCGATCGCGAGCGGAGAGGAGCGGAGCCGGCGCGGGAGAGGCGGTGAGGCTGGGGGGTGCGGGGGGACCCCACCCCGAGCCGGGGGTCCCGCGGGTGGGCTGGGGCCGCGCCACCCCCAGAGGAGCCCCGCGCTGTCGGGCTTCGCCCTCATCGGCGCGACCCCGGAGGGCGTCCGCACCCCGCACCCCGCGCGCCCCGAATCCCGCAGCCCCGCGGGGCGCCGGCCCTGGGCGAGCGGCTGGGAAGGGGGCGCCGCGGGAGGAGCAGGAGCTCGGGCCGAGTCCCCGCCGCAGGGCCCGCCCCGGGAGGCGCGGGGCGCCCCGGCCCCCCGCTGCACCCCGGCGCTCCCCATTGTTCTCCGCCAGCCCAGGTCCCCGGGAAGGGGGAGGGGGCCGCGCGCACCCCTTAAAGGGCCCTCTCCCCGCCCCCCGCAGGTCGCGAGCACGAGTGGGGTGGGGCGTGCCCGCGGCCCCCGCCCCCCTCCCCGCCGGCCCCCCGCAGCCCGGGCGCCCACCCGGCCTCCCAGGACGTCGCGGACGCGCGGGGACGCGGACCGAGGCCGCCGCCGTCGGGAGGCCGCCCGCGAGCCGGAGCGCAGCGCTGCGGAGCCCGCAGAGGGCAGGCTGGCCGGGCCTCCCCGCCACAGACGTTGCGTGGCAGCCACGGAGGACCGAGGCCGGCGGGAGAGGCCGGACCAGGACGGAGCCGCGGCGGCCGCACCTGAGCGCGGGGACCCGGGAAGCAACCGGGCGGGCAGCCGCCTCCTCCAGCCAGCTCTGCCCGAGCGCGAGCGGGGTCCCTGGAGCCGGCTGCCACCCTCGGCCCTGCACCCCAGCCTCCAGGCCCTGCAGCTGAGCCCCCCGCCGGAAAGGAGCCCCCCAGCTTCCTCTTGGAAGACAGGAAGTGCCCTGCTGTCCCCAGGCCCCGGAGGACCCGGGCCGGCCAGCCTGGGGACCTGGCCCCCGAGACCGCGGTGGCCATGTCGCGGCCAGGCCAGGGCCTGATGGTGCCCGGGACCGGGCTGGGCTTCCCGCCGCAGAACGTGGCCCGGGTGGTGGTGTGGGAGTGGCTGAATGAGCACAGCCGCTGGCGGCCCTACACGGCCACCGTGTGTCACCACATCGAGAATGTGCTCAAGGAGGACGCCCGCGGGTCCGTGGTCCTGGGCCAGGTGGACGCCCAGCTGGTGCCCTACATCATCGACCTGCAGTCCATGCACCAGTTCCGCCAGGACACAGGTGAGCAGCCCCGGCCTCGGGGTGCCCATCGCCGATTCCCCCACCCCCAGGGCCCTCCAGGGAGGGAGCCAGCCGGGCTGCAGAAGGCCAGATCTGTGACCCAGCCTCCCTCCCTCCCCCTGCCCTGGGAAAAGGGACAGACTTAATAGTGTCCGGTTGAAGGTTTGGGTTCCAGTGCTGCCTCTTAGATTAGTTGTGGGGCTTTGGATAGGGTGCTTCATGTCTCTGAGACCCGGTTTCCTCATCTGCAAAATGGGTCAATGTTGGTCAGTAGCAAGCTTGATGTCCCTGTCAGTTGCCCGAGGAGTAAAGCAAATAGGCTGGCTGGGCACAGAAACAGACGGGCCTCTGCACTTTGGCTGTTGACAAATACAGGCTGCAGATGCTTTCTTCCTGGTTTCCAACACTGCCAGGCAGTATGACTTACTGACATAGAACTAGCATTAGTCCCATTTGACAGATGGAGAAATTGAGTCTCCAGGACTCAGCAGAGTGATTTGGACTCAGAGCTGTGATTGAAGCCCAGGCAGCTGAGCTGCGGAGCTGAAGCTTTTCCCAAGCATGGTGTCTGCCAGTGTCGGGGTGGAGAGACGCGGTGGTTAATTATTGGGGGTTGATGGTGAAGCTGGTGGTAATGGTGGTGGCGGTCACATTGGTGCCTTGGTGGTGGTATTGATGTGGGTGTCATGGTAACGGAGGGATGCTGGTGGCAGCGCTGTGGTTCTGATGGTGGACCCAGTGGTGGTGGCCGTGACAGTGGTGCGTCGTGCAGTGTTGGTGGAGGGGTGCTGGCCCAGTCCTGGCGGCCGTGCGCGGATGTTGCTTGGTGGAGATCCCAGTGCCCGTCTCAGGGGTGTAATGGCGGGGAGGGCTGTGTTGATGGTGATGTGGTAGGGGACGGAAATGCGCGCGCCCTCCTGTCCCGGGCTTTGTCGCATGGTGGAGAGCTCCGAGTTCCCGCCCTGTGGTCACAGTGACGGGCTGGGCGGGCCCCAGTGTGGTCCTGCCACACGGATGCTGCCCAAGAGTTCTTCACACACTCGGCCCACGAGGAGCAGCCAGTGAGGGCTTCCGTGAAGCCCTGAGTGACAGCACTGATGGGACAGCAGGTGCCTTCTCCCTCTCTGGAGCTGTGCTGCCCGCGAGAGCCCCTAACCACACGCGGGGGTTGAAGTTGGTGTCAGTTGACAGGATGGGAAGACACGAAAGTCGGCCCGTGAGAAGCGCTAGCCAGCTCCAGGTGCCAGTGCAGGACAGGACGGTGCAGACCCAGAGGTGGCCACCAATGCAGGAGGTTCCGCTGGACGTCGCCACGCTAGAGCGCCTGCCGAGTGCCCAGTGGGCCTGGACATGCGGGCGGACTCGCGGCATCTCAGTGCGTGTTCATTTCCATGACTCCAGGCATGGGCTGCTGCCATCTCTAGGCAGGCCCAGAGTCAGGACTCTCTGTCATCTGGGGGTTTAGTGACCTCTTGCTGCTTATCGGACTCTGCACTAAGCCCTGGGTCCCAGAAGCTGGCGAGTCAGGGACCTCTGTAGAGGTCCACTACTGTGGGAAACCAGCCACAAAGGTCCCCAGATAGTTGAAGAGCAAGCAAACACAGGGTCACACGGGAATCACTCACTGGTCTTGATGGTGTGAGATAAATCAGGGGAACTGATGTTAGAACAGAGAGCTAAAGGATGAACAAGGAAAGCCCATGTTCTGGGGAGAGGGACAGCAAGTGCAAAGGTCCTGGGGTAGAAGAAGCTGGGTACATTCAAGTTCACTGTGTGCAGAATACAGTGAGTGGGGAGAAAATGGCACAAGGAGAGCTGGACTGTGCAGAGGGAAAAGGACAGTCGCCCTCTGGTCCTTGTGCCCATTATTCCACAGGGGCCCCAAAGCCCTGGGGAGACTGGGCCTCCGCTGGCCCAGTCTCCACTCCATTCTGGGCAGGGCAGGGGTCTGGCCAGAGAAAGGGGTGGCTTGGCATGGCATTCCACAGGCTCAGATCTCATGCAGGCTGTAGAGATTGTCCAGGCCCCGGGTCCCCCAAAGTCCAGTCCTGTGGCCTCCCTGCTACCCTCCCCACCCCCACCCCACCCCCGCTGTGCACACCTGCCCCTGTTTGCCGGAAAAGGGAAAAAGCCGATCATCTCTCTGCAGGCTGCTGGGCGCCTGCCAAGACCCCCAGCGAGGGAGAGGCCTGGAAACTCAGGGGGTGGAGAACCTGGGGTGCCTGGCCTCTCTAGGAGAGAACAAGGGGCTCCCAACCTGGTTACAGGCCGCCAGCTCCCCCAGGTCAGAGCGGTGTCAAGGAGGGGACTTTGCCCTCATTGCTCACAATCTGGGCCAGCCTGGACTCTCAGTCCATCAGGGAGCAGCGCCAAGAACCAGGCTCCTTGCTGCCTTGAGCTGCCCTGAGCTGCCCTGCATGACCTGGGCTGGGTGTCTCAGTTTCCAGGTCTGTGAAATGGGCATGAACATTGCATCACCAGCAAGGTGGCTGGATTGCTAGAGAGAAGCAGGCCTACTTTATCCTCAAACAGCAACAGATTCCCCACTGCATACCCAGTGTGTGTGTGTGTGCACACTGTGTGTGCAAGAGAGATGAGCAGGAGATCCTAAATCAAACCCAGCATGGCAGTGCATTCCTGTAATCCCAGCACTTGGGAGGCTGATGCAGGAGGATGGCAGTGAGTTCCAGGCCAGCCTGGGCTACATAGCAAAACTCTGTCTCAAAGAGACAGAGAGAGAGAGAGAGAGAGAGAGCTCTTAACCCCTGGAGAGTGTGTTTCACACACTTACACACGCCAACATAAACTTTAAAACCCGAAGCTCACACATAGGCACTGAAACCAGCCAAACCTCCCTGCAGATTTGCTCCCTGCCCCGTCCTCCTCCGGCTTGTTGAGGTCAGCTTCCGTCTAGGGGAGACAGCAGCCTGGCCTGATTTTGCTGGCGCCCTGCTCCAGCAGGAGCTGGCAGACTTCGCTGCCGGGGCAGATGGTGGATCTTTTAGGCCTCCCCACCCTGCGCCGTGGTTGGGAAACAGCCACAGACAACACGCAAACGAAGGCGGGCGGCTGTGTGCGGATCAGGCCGCTCGTGGACACTGGAATTTGAAATTCTTATTGAAATCGGTATCATTTTCACGAACCATGAAATTTTTTTTTCCAACTATTTAAAATGTAGAAACCAGTTCCCCAGCCATGCAGCGCAGGCAGTGGGTGGACTGGGTGCCCTGCTCGACAGCCTCTTCACCTGTCCAGGCCTTGGGACAGGGTGTCCCAGGATGCCCAACGTGCGAATGCGCATGCGTACAGGCCCACAGCCCAGCCCGCCTGTCCGCCGGCCCGCAAGGGTCCTGTCTGCCGCCAGCCGAAGGTCAGAGGTCACGCAGGTGTCTGGCGCAGGCTGCAGGGGGGAAGGAGGTGCTGTTTGTTCAGCTGCTGCCCCTCCCCTTCCCTGCTGGGTTGTTTGCTTTGCACCCCGTGGAGGCGGAGGTTCCCTTGAATCCCTCCAGGGCGGAGCCCCTCCCCCACCACGCGCGCCCCTGAACCAGGGCGCTTTCAGGTCCCAACAGTGGTGGCTTCATCCCGGCAGCCGGAGGGCACCACAGAAGTGGTCAGGGATAGGTGCATCCCTTGCTGCTGATTTTCTTGCTGGAACAGCGGTTTGTCTGTCTCTCAAGCTGTCTCCCAAGCTTTTTGCTCCTTGTCCTGGGTCGCTGCTCTGCCCCTCGCTAAGGGCAACAGCTTTGCCAGGCAGGCCCAGCAGCTGGCCTCGGAGCGGCTTTCTGCACCCACGTCACCCTGAGGCCTCCACTTCCTTTGCAGCCGCTGGGTCCACTGCTGCTGGAACAGGGCTTCAGAGGCCACACAGCTGACCGCTGATCCAAGATTGCACCTCTCTGACCAGTGCAACCCTCTGCCCATTGGGTACATGGGCAGCTGAGGCCCAGGAGGCCCGGCTGGGTGCCCTCCTCCAATGCCGGACCAGACCCCAAGCCTGGCTGCGTCTGCTGTCAGGCCACAGTGACAGGTGGCGGTTGGCTTTAGCATCTTGAAGGTTCCACTCAGCCCTGATCCCTGCTCTGGCAGAAGGTCCTGTTGGAGGACACTCAGGCTGCTGGAGAACAGACAGGGCCACCCAGGGGAGAGGAGCCACCGTCCCTAGGGAAAGCACTTGCTGCAGAATTCAGACTCCAGAAGGGGAGACTGAGGCCCTGAGAGGCTTACTGACTTGCCGAAGGTCACATAGCCTAGCAGTCCCCAGCTGGAACCTGGGGTTCCCAGACAAGGCCCAAGCTAGAAAACGAAACAGCACTGAATGCCAGGCTGGGCAGGTCCCCTCCCCCTTCTCCCTTGGGAGCTCCCCTGGGGCTTGTTGTCAGGGTTTGCACCAAGGCAGTGACAGTCAGGTCACCCTGGAGGAGTCAGGGGCCCAGGTCCCTGGTTAGAGGGCCCCTGGAGACCCCTGGGCTGGGCCAAGAAGAACCACAGTGTGGGACAGGGACGTGCCACAGCCTGGCACGTGGTGACAGTGTGTCTTGTGATCCCATAAATCCATTAGGCTTTTATTGAAGTCACTGGTGCCTGCTCAGTAGCCACCAGGCCCTGGGCTGGGTCCCAGGCCGTGCAGAGAAGGACAAAATCAGTTCCAGAGTCAAATCAGCCAGTATCAGATTGGCTCCGGGGTCTAGTGGAGGTAAAGGTGTCCTGGGTCGTGGGTCCGGGCTCTTGGAGGACTTCCTGTCGGTGGAGGCCTCCGGGAGGGAGCCTGGAGCTGCAGGAGAAGATGAGGCTCCTCTGGGTGGAAGACCCAGCACCAGCACGGACTGGGGGCAGAGGGAGGCTGTGAGGAAGGCAGGCGAGGCAGAGGCCTCCTGGGGCCCCCGGGGAGGGCCGCCAGCTGCTGCCCTTTAGCGGACTGGTCCCGGGGGACCCACAGCCTCGCTACGGGACCAGCCTTGCGCATCACAGGACTTCGGGCTCAGTCGCTCTGTGGCGGCGGG